CTTCTGTCTTTGTGTAGATTTTCTCTTAGCACACATTTCATGTTTACTAATTTTCAGCCCTTCCTGGGTTCCACCTGTGTGAAGGCTTAAAGACTCATTAAGTACCAGCCCAATTAAGTAGACTCAGGTCAGACAAATGATGTTTCTTGCTCTTTTGGTAGACTTCTTATAGAGGTAGAAGTCAATAATTTTCTGAATGTCAGTAGAAAGATTTCACACCCTCTGGTTCATATTATTCTTGCCTAATTGTCATTTTCTGTTTATATCTACTTATGATTCCTTTGCACTTCCCTGTACCTGTGCTTTATGTTATAACCAAGGGTCTTTTCTTGTGTATTTCTTTTCATTGTCTATGCCAGTAAAACACTTGCCTTTATATAAATTATTTACACTCCTTTTTCTGGTGACCTTGCACAGTTTTTAGTGTATAGAATATTTTTCTGTATCACAAAGAGGATGATGAGCAGGTAACATGTTCTTACCTGTGATCTTTATGTCAATGGGGTCATCAGATTCAGACCACTCATATGGTGTGTGATTGTAAGAACCATAGCATGTGTATGTCCCAGCATCATCAGGTGTCACAGGACCTATTGAGAAGTTGGCTTGGGAAACCCCATGATAATGTTCTGCAGAAAGCTTGAAAGATTCTTTGATTGTTCCATTTTTATGTGAAGTCAAAATGAAGGTGTCAAACATAATCTCTGATCGACACTCCAGTGTCACCTTCTCTCCTAAATTCACCAGGGGAGGTTGTAAGGCCAAGAGGAAAGGCTTCCTGTAGATTCCTAAGAATAAAAACATTGTATGAAATGATCAAAATCTCTGTGTCCTTGAAGACCCGTGGTTCCCCATCAATTGGTCTGTTCTCCCTGTTAGTGCTCCAGTTTACTTGTTTTTGTTTGCTTCTACTCTGGACACAGACTCCTCCATCTTTGGGTCCATTTCCCATTTATTTGACACTAGGATTAGCACAATATCTTCCCACTGGCTTGTGATGACAATGTGTCTTTTGAATCTTACTTCCATAGGCCCTATTGTCTTTTTCTAAGACTGGATAGTGCAGGAAACATGGCAAGCTTCACACCAGGCTGCTTTATGTGTCTTCTTTATGCAACTTTTGATTAAGTATAATCCTTGGCAGGATAAATGAATTAGTATTGAACATAGTTATAAGGGAAAGACTTCTAGCTCTCACTGTGGTTCAATCCTCTATAAGGCATTCCTAATCCAGAATCATGAACATTGTTTCCTCCAACACATTGATGAATTAGCATCCTGATTTTACTGCACTCAGAGCATCCCTTTTTTGTGACTTAATTTGCTTTTTACTTGAATTCCTATATTATTTTCTAGTTGCTAACATAGCAAATTACAACAAATTTGATTCTTAAAAAGAATACAAGTACTGTAGAGATCAGAATTCTGAAAAGCCCAATGGCATAAATCAGGTCTCTTCAGGGATAGTTACTACTGAAATCACTAGGAAAGCATTCATTTTTTTGCCTTCTGGCTTCTAGAGTCTCATGCTTTCCTTGGCACTCGAACCCTTCATCCATGTTTAGAGTTAGCAACAGGGTATCTCTCTCATGATGATATCTTTGGCCCACAACTGAATTTTTCCTTTTTTTGTTACATCAACCCTTGTAGTTCTACACACCTGAAATAATTCAGGATATCCTTGAATCCTGATATCAACTGGTTAAGATCTGAGTTCCACCCTCCAGCCCAATTTTCCTTGACTCATTTAACACACAGGAAGCCTTAGGGACTAGAATAATGTGTGATGTATATTTTATTATGCCCAGAATATTATATATTTGTCTGTGTTTAATATTCCTTTATGAGTCCAAACCTCGTAATAAGACTGTTTCTGAAAATTCCAGGGTTGGGAGATTTGGGGAAATGAAAGGAACTCAAAACATCATCTCTAACCTGAAATTATGATCTTCACAGGGTCACTGTTGGCTGAAATTTTAATAGGGTAATGATCATTAAAACCATAGCATCTGTATGTCCCTGCATGTTCTGTTGTCACA